GCGGGTGCTCAAGCCCCTCTAGCCCCCCCCCTCTGCACGTGCCTGCCTCTGTGTGCTTTCCTTATATTTATACATGCAAACAATATCACAGGCGCTCATTGCTCTTATGATGAGTTGGCCTTATAATCCTGTTCTCTTAAATACTATAGAAATTATAATATCCCCCTGAGAACAAGCCTATTCATTTTGTGTCCTTTGTAATGGACATTTGTTTTTGGTCTGTATCTTTTGACTTATTTGAGCTATCTTACTAAGTCCTGATGTAATAAATAGAGGACACCCTGGGCTTTCCCCACTGACATCCCCCATGTGTTTGTTTGCCAAAGAGGAAGGAAATCCCAAAAAAGTTAAGTGGGAAGATTTGCTCCTTTCCTCGGTTCTCAGGAGGTTAGAATAAAAGGGCCATAAATGATTCCAGTTCTGACTGAAGACCTTCCTGTAAGTCCAAAGGGACAAAACAGGAAGAAAAAAAAGGAAGAGGAAAAAACAGCAGGGATGTAAAGAGAAAGAGGAGAAAAGACAAATAAAGAAGAATGTCATCTATTATTTATCTGTATTCTCAGAAATTCAGGCAACCCCCGGCCTCCTGAGTGCTGCACTTAGGGATTTGGCTTGAAGTTGCTCATGCAAACATGAATCGTTCTGATGAAAATCTCACCAGCATGGCGAAACCACAGCACCAAGATGCTAAATATATCAGTGTGAACGAGTGAAAGGGTCAGTGAATGCCCAGAGACAGCCAAGAGAGCATAAAGTGCTTAATATGTTACTCACTTTAGTACCAGACATGATTTAATGCTGGACCACTGATGTATCTGCCTATTTACAGTGTGCTGTAGCTATGTCAAGACATTTCTCCAGCATTGCTACTTATTCCTATTAAGTGTAATAAACAACACTAATGCTTTTGGCTTTTCTTTCAATGTAACACAAAAAATGAGGAAAATGTGGGAACATTCTTGTTTTTTTGCTGAGAGTGAAGAGACTCAAACTGTACAGCAGGGCCCTCTAGTGGGCCACAGAGCCACTGCAGGTAGAGTGGTGCATGTTTGGAATTGTTTGGGTAAGTTTGACTTCAAAAACACAGAAAAAAACTTCCCTTCTTTCTTCACAGTCACTGGATAAAAGCCAGACTTTAGAAAAGTCCAATATCACCCGATGGTTTGGTGAGAACTGCAGTGAATATCTTCAGTTTTCTAATAAGCTGCACTGCTGTTCCTGTATTACTACACATCTGCAAAAATGAACCCACGGTCAAAGTATTTTTGACCTTTACAAGTCAAATGAATTATATACACTAAAAACGATGTTATTTAATTTGAATAACTCATAACTGTTTAATTTGAACAACTGAGCTATAACTTGACTGTGTGGAGTCACTGAAGTCAGTTTGAAACCCCTGGATTAGACTGAAAGTGTATCTGCTCCCCCTTGTGGACAACTTGCAGAATTCAGGAGCTAATTCAAAGTGCTTGGAAACAACAACAAAACAAACAAACAAACAAAAGAAAACAACAACTACCAAACAATATGGCTCAGTTACAAAACAAACTATAATAAAATAAAATAAAAAAAATAAAGGAAATGCTACATAGATATGTTGACACATACTTTAATGGAAATTTGAACAACAGTAAATATTAAAAAAATAAAATAAAATCCTAATAAAACATTTAACAACTGATTTTGAAAATCCAGAAAATTAAACAGATGTGTAACCTTTAAATTTTAAACAATTCAACAACAATTCAAGAACCTAAACGTGAACTGGAACAAGGGAACAAGAAACACAATAACTTAATAACAGGGAAAACGTATATACATATTTTTTTATGATTCATTCCCCTCATCAACTTGCTGAGCAGCTTCCTGCTCAGTGGCTCTGGGTGCAGGAAGTGGTGGGTGCTGCCGTGACATCAGCTCTTCCTTAAAAGTCTCAGGCAGTGACTGATGGGTAAAGAAGGCTCCCCTGCAAGCCTGACAGAGATACAAGCATATTTATTGCATTACACATCTCTGTCTAAACAATATTAACGAAACATTTCGAAGATCACTGCAGCCATTTTTTTCAGCACATCTTTCATGTAGTGTAGTAGAAACAGTGGCTTACAGCTGGAGGGCCAGGCTGTAGTGGGGGAGGGTACAGGTACCCAACATGTACAGGGGGCAGCCACATGTTGGGCAGGAATTGATGAGATGGAGAGGGATAGCTGCTGGCGTGATAGCCTGGCATGCTAACTGGAAAGTGAACAAGAGGCAGACGTGCCATCTGCCTGAATTCACTGAAAAAAGGTGAATCTGGAAGGAACGATAAAGCATTATAAGCTACTGTACATTTAAACACAAAACTCTTACTCACACTCAACACTGAAGACATTTTTAGGTTACTTCTGAGTAAGTCTAAATTTTGAGTTATTAAGTCTATTTATTTTTTTAGGGGTCAAGATAAAACTACACTAAAACACACAGAATTTAAAAGATCAGATGAAATGAGAAAAATAAGATATTATTTATTTACCCCAGGAAATTCCTAAAAATAGTGAGAATAGCCCAATAAATACAATAAATATTATAAATAAATAAAATAAATACAATAAAAGACAAAGTAGGTCAGTAAGATTAAAAAAATCACACAAAATTAGATGCACAGTGGAAAAGAAAAAATAGATTAATTTGCATGCATGTACACCCACATCAATGATTAAGCAAATATTAACAAATACAGTTTATGAATGTAGTTTAAACTATTTAATTATGTAATTTATTGTTATATATAATGAAACAATAACACTGAATATTTCATCAAGTGCACCTCCGGCACAAGTTGTTAAACTTTGTGACAAGAATAATCAGCAAAGACCATAAAAAAATTATCATTAGTATTACTTTTATACTTTAAATAAGTCACAGTAACATCCTAAATGTCTCACTTTGTATGAATTAGAATATCAGTGCTCCATGAAGTTTAAACCTGCTAACTTTAGCCCCTCTCTGTCCCTCTTAATGTCCTAAAGATATTACATTTGTGAAAAGACAAGTCAAACTATTCTCTCACACTTTTTTCTCTTTTTTTGTGCAGGTATTTAATTCAGAAGCATTATTTTAAATCCATATGTAGATGCATTAAAAACAAATAATAATAATAAAAAAAACCCAAAACAATCTATCAACTGAAATCCTATGAAGGACATAAGAATGGCAGATTATTATTTCAAAATTTCAACTTACTAATTCATTTTTCTGAGAAAATAACTACAAATTGAGATAATAACCTTAAAATTTGAGCTATAAAGCAATTAAGAAATTTTAATAGCGATATAGTAACCGGACAGTTGGCTTAATTCTGCCAGTCAAAAGTTTGTATTTATTGGCGGAAACAAGCTGCCATACAAATGTACATGTATGCTAATACGGGAGAGGGAAAAAGATGTCAGTTTAGTTTTATAATTTCTTGCTAATTCGTTTAGATGTCTGCTTATATTAACGACTTTCCCACTTCACGTTAATCCAGTCCGTTGAGCTCAACGTTTCATATTTCATAATTAACAGTATTAGCTTAGTGAGAGGTGTAAATTTACCACCAGCCGACGGCAGCACATCCCTGCTGTCGCGACAGCCGTACTCGGGCTGTCCTCCCGCCTCAGGCCTACTCCAAGGGTCGGCGGGTGAGCCCTTCTCCGGGCCTCCTGCGGGTGGCGGGCACATCGGTTCAGATGTGGATGGAGCACCCCCATCTGGGTTCAAGGTCCCAAAAGCCAGGTTCCCCTGCTCATTAACCCTTCTGGCTCCGGGCCGGGTCTCTTTCATGGCTCTTTTCATTCCCCTCTGTAGGGCGGCGATCTTCGTCCTCTCCGTTATCAGGTAGCACTTCCAGCACTGGCACTTCAAGAAAGGGCAGATTTTTGTGTGGCCCTTCTTCGGGACGATAATCCCATGGTGTCGGCACCGGGCGCATTTTGGCTTCCCTGCGTAGTCGTTTGTCCCTGCTGAGTCTTTAGGTAAAGACATGGACATTTC